TACACTAAAATTTCCTAAAATACCCACACACCGTTACTAATTCCGTTAAAATTTTAAGAATAGCCGTTAGTTCACCGTTAACTTACTCATTGATTTCAATAAAAAAAAGTCTTAGGTTCGAACCTCATCCCAATCAAAGTTGGCATAATTAGTACTCTATTTTACTCTTATTAAATTATTATATAAATAATAATTTAGTAGTTACAACAAAAAATAATACATATGCATTTCTTTAATTTAGAATTATGTGTCCTCAATGCCTTTATTCAAAAAAAAAAAAATTATTCATTATCAATAAATTAAATAAGAGAAATAATGCATTCAAAAAAAAATAATAGAAATAATTTTATTAGTTATATTGTCTTTATTTTTTCTTCAATATAAAAATTCTTTATATTCAAATTTATTAATTGATTATATTCGCTACATTGTCCTTACAATGTCTTTATTCAGTGAAAAAAAAAATTATTAATTATCAATAAATTAATTAAAAGAAATATTTTCATTAGTTATATTGTCTTTATTTTTCTCAAATGTACAAATTTTTACATTCAAATTCATCAATTGATTATATTCACTACATTATCTATTATCTTTTTTGTGCACTACTTTTCTAATTAAATATCAAAGTTATAATACAAAATAATGCTATATATTTATTTACCAAGTATTTTATTAATACCATGAAAAAATTAAAAAAATATAATTAATAAAGCCAACCATATTAACTACTTGAGAGATTTTGTGACAAAGAGAGTATTCAAATTAAATCACACAACAAATTGAAGTGAGAACTACCTCGCAATGTCCTTTTTTACAATTAGCAGTTAGCGGTTAGCGTTAGCGGATTATACTAGCGGATTTGACCAGCGAATTTATTTAATTATTAACATTTGGTAGAAAAAATGACCGCCAAATTATTAAATCAAATGAACGGTTCATATTGTTCAGGTTTTAATTTTTTTCTTTTAAGATTTTCTAATTTATCCTTAATTATATGATTATCCATTTAACTTTTCCGTTAATTCACCGTTAGTCTAATTCTAATATTAAAGTCTAATATAGAATTATAACTACACCATTAATCTAATTCTAATATTAAAGTCTTAATAGAACTTAACCACAAATCCTAATGTCGGAATCTCCTCAAACAATATTAGTATATATTTAATATTTTATGCCCTAATTTTTATTTGTTCTCCCTTATGTCCCGTATTTGGTTTCAACTATACCTATACAATTATTTTATTGACAATTATAATCAATCTTGACTATATTATCTTGCATTTGTAAACTTAGAATTACCTATTTAACTCGCACGGGCTTAGCTCAATGATTTAGTGGGTAGTATTTGGGAGAAGAGACCAAGGTTTGAACCTTGGCGGCGGCAGTGCGGGAATTATGTCCAAAATGGGCAGATTCCTTGTGCGTATCAGCATTTGGCCCTGTCTGCTGAACCATTGAGTCACCGTGATTTACAACTTCCCACAATGCTCTGTCGGGTCGGAGTGTGGGGGGCCCTTGGGGTTGGGGACTCAATCTTTGGGAGAAGAATTACCTATTTAAATACGCAAATTCAACCTTCAATTATCTATGAATGAACAATTTCAATATAATTCTGCCTTAATATACTTTAAAGTACTTATTTAACAAAAAAGCATTGGACATTATCCCAATCGCGCAATGCGCGTAAAAAACTAGTATACTAATAAGAGCCCAAGAGAGTTAGGCCTATAATGGGTAGAAAAAATGGTGGTCACAGATTTTAATTAAATGAATGGCTCAGATTGATTAAAAGATTGATAAGATTTAAAATTTACACTAAAATTTCCTAAAATACCCACACATCGTTACTAATTCCGTTAAAATTTTAAGAATTGCCGTTAGCTCACCGTTAACTTACTCATTGATTTCAATAAAAAAAAAAAGGTCTTAGGTTCGAAACCCATCCCAATCAAAGTTGGCATAATTAGTACTCTATTTTACTCTTATTAAATTATATAAATAATAATTTAGTAGCTACAACAAAAAATTATAGATATGCATTTCTTTAATTTAGAATTATGTGTCCACAATGCTTTTATTCAAAAAAAATTATTCATTATCAATAAATTAAATAAGAGAAATAATTGTATTAGTTATATTGTCTTTATTTTTCTACAATATAAAAATTCTTTATATTCAAATTTATTAATTGATTATATTCGCTACATTGTCCTTACAATGTCTTAATTCAGTGAAAAAAAATTATTAATTATCAATAAATTAATTAAGAGAAATATTTTCATTAGTTATATTGTCTTTATTTTTCTCAAATGTAAAAATTTTTACATTCAAATTCATCAATTGATTATATTCACTACATTGTCTATTATCTTTTTTGTGCACTATTTTTCTAATTAAATATCAAAGTTATAATACAAAATAATGCTATATATTTATTTACCAAGTATTTTATTAATACCATGAAAAAATTTAAAAAATATATATAATTAATAAAGCCAACCATATTAACTACTTGAGAGATTTTGTGACAAAGAGAGTATTCAAATCACACAACAAATTGAAGTGAGAACTACCTTGCAATGTCCTTGTTTGACAATCAGCAGTTAGCGGATTATATTAGCGGATTTGACCAACGAATTTATTTAATTATTAACATTGGGTAGAAAAAATGACCGCCAAATTATTAAATCAAATGAATGGTTCAAATTGTTCAGGTTTTAATTTTTTTTTTAAATTTTTCTAATTTATCCTTAATTATATGATTATCCATTTAACTTTTCCGTTAATTCACCGTTAGTCTAATTCTAATATTAAAGACAATATAACTAATACAATTATTTCTCTTATTTAATTTATTGATAATGAATAATTTTGAATATAAAGAATTTTTATATTGTAGAAAAATAAAGACAATATAACTAATACAATTATTTCTCTTATTTAATTTATTGATAATGAATAATTTTTTTGAATAAAAACATTGTACATACATAATTCTAAATTAAATATCGAAATGCATATGTATTATTTTTTGTTGTAACTACTAAATTATTATTTAATTTAATAAAAGTAAAATAGAGTACTAAATATGCCAACTTTGATTGGGATGGGGTTGGAACTTCGAACTTAACACCTTTCTTATTGAAATCAATGAATAAGTTAACGGTGAACTAACAGAAATTAACGGAAAAGATAATATTTAACGGAAAAGTTAACGGATAATCATATTCATTAAGGATAAATTAGTAAATCTTAAGAAAAAATTAAAATCTGATCAATCTTGACTATATTATCTTGCATTTGTAAACTAATATTAACGTCTAATATAGAATTATAATTACACCATTAATCTAATTCTAATATTAAAGTCTTAATAGAACTTAACCACAAATCCTAATGTCGAAATCTCCTCAAACAATATTAGTATATATTTAATATTTTATGCCCTAATTTTTATTTGTTCTCCCTTATGTCCCGAATTTGGTTTCAACCATACCTATACAATTATTTTATTGACAATTATAATCAATCTTGACTATATTATCTTGCATTTGTAAACTTAGAATTACCTATTTAACCCGCACGGGCTTAGCTTAATGGTTTAGTGGGCAGTATTTGGGAGAAGAGACCAAGGTTTGAATCTCGACGGCGGCAGTGCGGGAATTATGTCCAAAGTGGGCAGATTCCTTGTTCGCACCGGCATTTGGTCCTGTCTGCTGAACCATTGAGTCACCGTGATTTACAACTTCCTATAATGCTCTGTCGGGTCAGAGTGTGGGGGGCCCTTGGGGTAGGGGACTCAACCTTTGGGAGAAGAATTACCTATTTAAATACGCAAATTCAACCTTCAATTATCTATGCATGAACAATTTCAATATAATCTTGCCTTAATATACTTTAAAGTACTTATTTTTAAAAAAAAAAACATTGGGCATTATCCCAATCGCGCAATGCGCGTAAAAAAACTAGTATATATATATATATATATATATATATATATATATATATATATATATATATATATCAACTCAAATGCGGCCAGATCTAGACGTGCAGTCAGTACGACTTAACCATTAGTTATGTAAAAACGCACCAATAGTGTTAGAAAACGCACAAACAATGAAATGCACCAATGCACTACAAAAACGCGCCATTAGGTACGCATAAACGAACCACACGGTGTTCGAAAATGCACCACACGGTGTTCGAAAACGCACCATTAGGCCTGGTACGGTATGGTGCATTTTTTTTTTTTGGTGTGTAGTGCGTTTTGTGATGCATTGGTGCATTTCATTGTTGTGCGTTTCCTAACACTATTGGTGCGTTTTTGCATAACTAATGGTGAAGCCGCACTGACCGTACGTTAAGGCCTAGTCGCACTGGAACTTGGTCATATATATATATATATATATATATATATATATATATATATATATATATATATATATATATATATATATATATATATATATATATATATATATATAGCTTAGGTGAGAACGTTAGAACAAATCGTGTGCATCCATCTAATATTTTTAATGGTCTAGATTAGATTAAGTGTGTGCGAACGCGAATTAAATTTGTGCAAACGCGATTAAGTGCGTTTGCACACATTTAATTCGCGTTCGCACACACTTAATCTAATCTAGATAGTTAAAAAATATTAGATGGATGCACACGATTTGTTCTCACGTTCTCACCTAAGCAAGTGTTCTCATTGGAACACTACTCTATATATGTGCGGTTAAATCTTAGTCATTGATCTTTCTTAAATCAACATCTAGGATTACCAAATTTTTTTTTAAAAAAATGCAGTGGCAATTTGGTAATTTTTGCATCTAGGTTAAATTTAAGGTGCGTAAGTTTTGTGCTTAAGGTGCGTGGGTTGTGTACTTAATGTGAGTAGTTGTTGAAACTTAAGGTGCGCGAGTTTTGTGCTTAAGGTACGTGGGTTTTGTGCTTACGGTGCATGAGTTTTGTGCTTAAGATGCATCCTTCGCACAACTGCACGGGAACCCTTACCCTCATCTGAACCCTTCCCTATATATATATAGGGAAAGGTTCAGGTGCGGGGGAGCGCTTTCGTTCGGTTGTGCGGTTGGACGCACATTAAGCATTAACTGACGCACTTTAAGTACAATACACACGCACATTAAGCACACAAACAAAACACCTTCAGAACACAAACTCACGCATGTTAAGCACAAAACTCACGCATGTTAAGCACAAGCCTCACGCACCTTAAGCACATAACTCAGGCACCTTTTAAGTTTCAACAACTACTCACATTAAGCACAAACTCATGCACGTTAAGCACAAAACTCACGCACCGTAAGCACAAAACTCACGCACTTAAGCACAAAACTCACTCACTTAAGTTTGAACAACAACTCACATTAAGCACAAACCCACGCACATTAAGCACAAACCTCACACACATTAAGCACAGGACTCACGCAGTTGAAGTACAAAACTGACGCACGTTAAAACCGCACGGGAACACTTAAATGCATATATATATATATATATATATATATATATATATATATATATATATATATAGAGCAGAGATCCCATGCGGCTATAACACTAGGTGCGGCAGTGCAGTCATATAAGGGCCATTGGATTAAACAACATCAACGGACCATACTGATTCTCATTAGCGCGCTTGACTTCGACATAACCGCGACGGAGGGGGCAAAATTGTCCAATAATTATAATTCAAAACTGATAGTTTCCTCCTTCTACAAGCTACACCGGTCCATTCGCTAATTCACAATCCCAAAGCACGAGAGCAGTTTCACTCCTCCCAACGACGACGAAGCCTACGCGAAGACGACGATCGACGATCGCCTCAGCACAAAAACAGAGAGCTACTGTCAAAACACACCACTACGTTTGCGATAGGAAGCAGAAACCCTACACCGCAGACCAGTTCGACTACGACACCCCAAAAAAATGGTGAACAAGGGCAAACAACCAGTGACGAAGAGTAAACAGCCATCGCCGAATGGTATGCACTCAAACTCTAGACACAAAAACCAACTTCAACATGACAGTATTTGATATTTCCTTTATTAGTAGTGTATTTTGTATTATGTAAAAGGAATAGAGCAATTAACAGTGTTGTGTGTTTTATTTGGATGATCGGTGTGTCTTGACATAATATTAGTGTGTTTTTGGTTCTATCCTAACTATGACATCTAATATTGTGTTGTATGGGGATTATCAACGTGAATGTAGTGTATATTTCGTTTAGTGTTGGTGTATTCTGGACTATATAACTTGAATAGAGAAAATAACACTGTTGTGTGATTTATTTGGGTGATCGGTGTATCTTAATCTAATATTATGTTGTCTGGTGAATATCAACGTGAATGTAGTGTATATTTCAGTTAGTATTGGTGTATTCTGGCCTATGTAACTTGAATATAGAAAAGAACAATGTTGTGTGTTTTATTTGGGCGATCGGTGTATCTTAGTCTAATATTGGTGTGTTTTGTAGTACATTTCAGACTATGACATCTCAAATTGTGTTGGTTTTTTGGGCATTATCAGCATTATTGTAGTGTGTATCTAATTTAGTATTGTTGTATTCTGCACTATGTAATTTGAATATGGAAAATTACATTGTTGTGTGTTTCATTTTGGGATATCAGTGCATTTTTACCCTACATTAGGGTATCTTTTAACACTGAGGCTATATCATGATTAGATTAATATCACTGAATTCATGCAGACAAGAAGAGAAAGGCATTAGAACAAGGAGAATCATCAAAGCCAAAACATCAACGGAAGCAACTAGCACTAGCATTCCGTGATAGAATAGAAACATAAATACAAGAGCAAGTTGCTGATGACAGCTCTGATCATGAAGTTGAAGATGAAGAAACAGACCTAAAGATACGGCCACTGCCCACACAGCTAACGAAACCAATTGAATCGCTGACCCAACCACAATGCAGAAGTGTACAAGATATTGGGCTAGGAAGGATACTTGATCTCAAAATCACCAACCTGCCAAGAAAGATGGGGATGTGGCTAGTCGAAAACTATGACTCTAGGAGCAACACACTGAGTCTACCATCTGGTGAAAGGCTCCCAATCACAGAAAATGATGTTGCTGCCACCTTGGGACTGCCACTTGGAGACATAGAAATCACTAAGAGGGAATTCAAACAAGTATCTGATCTCTTGAAAGACTGGAGAAAAATCTTTGGGAAGGATACTGGCCACATCACCCCCCATGTCATGGCTGAAAAGATGCTAACATTAAAAGCTGGTGACCCTTGGTTCAAAAGGCATTTTGCACTGCTTGTTATGAGTGTGTTGATTGAGCCACAAGTTAATGGTTATGTCAACCAAAACTACATCGACAACCTTCTTAATGTACGCAACATCAAGAGACTAAATTGGTGTAGAATGCTCATCAACTCACTCATCGCCAGCAAACAGGCATGGCTTGACAGCGCTGATGGAAGATATGGAGGCCCAATTGTTTTCCTAACGGTAAATAATCCCCCAAACATGCTTGTAATTATTTACTTATCAATATATTAATACTCTAAACTACCAAGTGCAGGTATTCTATGTTGACCGTGTTGTTCTATACCGGAGGACTATCCCACAAAGCTTCCCTGCCATGAAGAATTGGACATTTAAGTTGCTCCGTCAACGACAGTAAGCTGAGATTAAATTGGAGGCTTTGGATATGGGCGGGTTGATTATGCCTTGCCATTTGAGAGCACACCATGCAGTGACCAGAACCCCAGCATAGGACAGTCTGATGTACCACCACAACCACCATCATGTGAAGAAAATGCACCACTTCCCCATGGATTACAGGTAAACAGAACACTTTAGCCAGACTCATGTGGTATTTATTGTGCATACTTCTGTATATATTGGTGTGTTTATACTACAGTCCTTCATTGGTGTGTGTGCACTCTATTGACTGTTTTTTTTTTTTTTTTTTTTTTTTTTTTTTTTTTTTTTTTTTTTTTTTTTTTTTTTTTTTGGGCTGGTGCTTTACTTATTGTTGACTGAGCATAACTTTCTGGTGCATATACAGGAGTTTATTGATGAGGTTACTACCAACACAAGGACGATTGCAAAAAGTTTACTGAGAATTTCAAGGCTGATTGAAAATGCACCTACAACAGTATTGGAGCATGACACATTCAAGCAGATGTACTGTTACCAGTAAGGACAGTTTCACCATGCCATATCCACCGGTCATATCCTATCTTAAAACCACGACGTATCAAATGTTCCTTAATTTGTTCAGAACTACGAAACTTTTTTAGATTTCTACAATCATAACAAGGACACATTATATAATTTTCACCAATTTTACTTGCATATTCCTCGGCAATTTTAACAAACTCTTGAACCCCATGAACATATTCAAGTGTATTGCGTTTTTTATACATCCAACTCCGATCCATATCTCCTATATATTGTCACACAACATTTAAGAAATGATAAATGAGTTAGTTTCTTAAGTTATAACTTAAAGGTTCAAATTAAAGCTTTAACTAAATTTATCAACAATACCTAACATATACAATAATACACAACGAATTTGTCAACAATGTCTAACTTATACAATAATACACAACAAATTTGTATATACAATAAACAAATAATACAATAATTAATGATTTACGAATACATCAAATGCAATGTAGGTAATTTTCTTCCACCAATGCTACAATAACCTTTGATCCACAACTACTAAAATAACTATTAATATTTTAACCAAGTAACAACATTATCCAAATTAAAACATTTATAAAATTATACGGTAAAGGTGCAATCTCTATAAATAAATAATACAAATAACACAACAAATTTGTATATACAACAATAACAAATAATACACAATAAACAACAATAACAAATATACAATAATACACAATAAACAACAATAACAAATAACAAAAAAAAATTAAAATAATTAATTATTTTCGAAAAAAAAAATAAAAAATTAAACAAACTCACCGTACCTCTGCCGGCGTTCGTAGCAGCGACGGTGGTGGCGGGGGATGTAGCAGCGGCGACCGGCGTCCGGCGTTCGTAGCAGCGGCGGTGGCGTGCGATGTAGCAGCGGCGACCGGCGGTGGTTGGCGTGGTAGCAGCAGCGGAGACCGGCGGTGCTTGGCGTGCGAGGAGCAGCGACGACCGGCGGGTGTGAGGTCTGAACGGCGGACGATGAACGGCGAGCGAATTGAAGGACGGAGGAAGGAGACGGCGGAGAGGTCTGATTTGGGGGGTTAGGGCGGAGAGCGGGCTGAAATGCTGAATTGGATTTGAGGGTAGATTAGAAATTTAATTCGCGTCCAAAGTTGCCAATTTTGGACGCGAATTATATCCGCATTAAGTCATTCGCGTCCAAAGTTGGCAACTTTGGACGCGAACTTTGGTCTCATTAAATTATTCGCGTCCAAAGTTCGAAACTTTGGACGCGATTTATTTAAAAAAAAAAAATATAGTGGCAATTTAATTACAAAATTGCCACCGCACTACACATTCGGCGTCCAAAGTTGTAACTTTGGACGCGATTTATACGATCTTATTGATATTTTTTGTACTAGTGTGCTAGACAGATGCTTGGATTCAAAGCGCAGGAAGATGGAAAACTGACATTTACCCAGCAAGAAGATGCCTATTGAAGTGACCCTGAGTTCTTGGAAGCAGTTGATGAAATTGTCCGTGCAGTAAACAAGAGGAATTTTTTAAATCATATGCCAACTTTCAGCCTGGGATTGTCATAAGAGGGACCAAATAGAGACTCGACAACTGTGAATGATAATGCACAAGACTACCAGGACATTGATGAAGCTCCAGAAAATGAAGACGTCCAAT